GCGCACTCCTTAATACCTCCGTAAATCTAAACAAAGAATGGATAAAAGATAAATGAATCATACAAGCTCAGGGGAAAGCAACATATCATATGAGATAATAAAATAAAGCGTCATGTAATGCCAATACCAATGCTAATGTCACTGACACCTTTCATTTCCCAAAATCCCATTTCCAACACAAAAAGTTAATGTAATCCACCCAGGGCTGTTCCCTAGTACCACGAGGAGAGAGTTAGTCATCTATCCCTGACACAAGGCCACTCCTTGTGATCATTTTGGGGCTCTAGTGACACAACTACGCATAGAGCCACTCCCTACATCTCCTCAAGATTCCCATTACCTGCACAGACAAGGCAACTCTTTGTCCAGTTTTAAAATCGTTAATTTAATTCCCTTTTTTAAGCTCATGGATACAAGGCACCTCCCTGTAATATGGTTTTCAAAACCATTTTAATGAGATGCTCTTACTTTTTTTTCCATTCTAACCTTAACCCCATGACCATGCAAGATGAATGCACAATTGTGTCATGTTTCGAAGTTTATAATCAGTAAACAGTTCACACGTAGCATGTTACTTCCATCTTTGAAAATTCATAACAAATTCAATTATAGGTAAAATTGAGTGATTCCAAAGCCTAATGAAAGCTTAAAAAATGTAATTTGAGAGTGTTAATTTAGTTTAACAAAATCCCTTCCCAATTGGAACAATTTTGACCCTAAATTTCGAACTAAAATCTGCTAGAAAATGATTTCCAGCATGTAGCTTCCATCTTTGAAAATTCATAACAAATTCAATTCTAAGTAAAATTTAGTGATTCCAAAACCTAATGAAAGCTTAAACAATTTATTTTGAAATTGTAAATTTAGTTTAACAAAATTCCTTCCCAATTGGAACAGTTTTGACCCAAAAATTCAAATTATATCCTGCCCAGAAACTGATTTCCAGCCTGTAGCTTCCATCTTTGAAAAATCATTAAAAATTCAATTCTTATCCAAATGGAGTGAATCCAAAGGTAATTGAAATTTAAAAGACTATATTTTCAAGATAAAATTTTAATTCACCAAAATAACTTACCATTTAAAGCAGGTTTGATGAAAAACACTCGGACAGAATCTGCCCCAACCTAGAATTTCCAACAAGAACCCTCTAACTTCAAAAATTCATGGTAAATTCATTTCTCAACCAATTTATGTGAAACCAATTCTGAATGAAAGCTAATTCACTATATTATCATAATATCAAATCATCTCTGCATGATAAATTACGAATTTATATGAATTAGAGAAAAATAGCTGTATCCAATTTCAGGCAAACAGTTTCAGCATCAGTTTAGGTTTTTTATACACTTTGCTACTCAAATTGAAAGAGATAACTCATTAAAGGCAAAGGAATTGAGGGTTAGACAATCTTACCTCCAAAAGAAGCTTGAACCTTGCTAAACAACAATTTAAAGCAACTCCAAGAAGGACGCAAAGCCATAAACTTTGTACAAAGTGAAGAACACCTTTTTGTTTTGACACACAACAAAATCCTCTCCTTTAACACCACTTTTGACAACCCAGAATTTGTAAAATGTGCGCAACTCTTATGCCACAAGGAAGCTCTCTCCCTTAGGAACCTTTTTCATTCACAAAGCTAACCAAAACTCACAACACAAGGCCTTCAAAATGACAAGTAAAGAAGAAGACTATGGTGAGGGAATAAAAGGGACTAAAATTCTATGAAGAGTTCCTATATAATTTCTAACTAATATGTCACACATCTGTATAGTTAACAGTCACATACACCCCTCACATGTCAAGCATACACCTAGCCAAAGCATGCCCCCATGAAATGACTGAAAGACTTTTCACACATTTACCAATTTCCAAGTATGTCATTTGTATGCTAAAAGTCCACATTACCCCCATGAAATAACCAAATGCCAAATATGCCATTTGAAAAATAAAAGTCAACTTTGGCCTTTATAAAATAATAATTGACAAATATGCCATTTGCATAATAAAGTTTATAATACTTTTTAACACATAATGATGTTTAAATTCACATTTGCAAAATAATCATATTTTTGACAATTAAAATAAAATGCATGAATGCTAAAATGTTCGAAAAAATGATAAAATTGCGAGTCCTCACAGTCTCCCCAACATACAAGGATTTCATCCCCGAAATCAAGTCATACCTTGGGAAGAGAACAAACTCAGATACGCAAAACAAACATCCTGTTCCCGTTCCCACGTTGCCTCCTCAATACCGTGATGTCACCACAAAACCTTCATGAGAGTCACCGTTTTACCCTTTAACACTTTGTCCCGAGTGTCAAGAATCTGAACGGGTCCCTCCTCGTAAGAAACATCCTCATCAATATCAACATCAACCCAACTCGATACATATGATGGATCCGGCTCATACTTCCGGAACATCGAAACAGGAAACACATTATGGACCTGTCCATCTGTGGTGGCAATGCCAATCTATAAGCAACCTCGCTCACTCGATCCAAAATCTCAAATGACCCAATGAAACGAGGTGACAACTTGCCACTCTTTCCAAACCGTAGCAATCCTTTTCGTGGAGAAACCTTAAGAAACACGTGGTCTCCCACCTCAAAGGATAATGGTCGTCTCCGTCTATCTGCGTAACTTTTCTGTCGGCTCTAAGCAGTCAACGACCGCTGCCGAATCAACTTAATCTTATCAGTGGTTTCCAAGACAATGTTTGGCCCTAAAGCAGCTGTCTCACCCACCTCAGTCCAACAAATAGGAGAACGACAAGGCCTACCATACAACGCCTCAAAAGGAGCTATCTCAATGCTCGACTGATAGCTATTATTGTAAGCAAACTCAACAAGAGGTAAGTGGTCCTCCTAACTACCACCAAAATCAAGTACACAGGCCCGAAGCATATCTTCCAAGATCTGGATAGTACGCTCCGACTGGCCGTCCGTCTGCGGATGGAATGCCATACTCAAATGCAACGGTGAACCAAACGCTACATGAAGCCCTTCCCAGAACTTCGACGTGAACTTGGCATCCCTATCCAAAACAATGGACAATGGAACCCCATGCAATCTGACGATTTCTCTGACATATAATCTGCTAAGTGCCTCAGCAAAATCTATTGCCTTAACAGGTAAAAAGTGAGCAGTCTTAGTCAATCTATCAATAATGACCCAAACAGACTCATTACCCCTCTGTGACCTCGAAAGTCCTATCACAAAATCCATAGCAATACACTCCCATTTCCACTGTGCTACTGGCGATGGCTGCAATAAACCAGCAGGTCTTTGATGCTCTACCTTTACTTGCTGACAAATTAGACATCTAGCAACCAACTGAGCTACATTTGCCTTCATCCCATTCCACCAATACTGGCGTCTCAAATTATGATACATTTTAGTACCACCTGGATGCACAGTAAAACGAGATGTGTGAAACTCCCGTAACGCATCCTCCCAACAAACCGTAGGAACCACAAGCAAACCTCTGAACTGTAAACCACCATCTGTGTGTAAAGTCCAGTCCTTTACTGTGTCCCCACCTGAAATCAATTGATGAATGACAGCTAAATCTAAGTCCTGTCTCTGTGCCTCAATCACTTGTGTAACAAGAGTAGGTTGAATCACAAGACGAAATAGAAAAGCTGTCTCACAACCAATACTTTCATCACAACACTGTAATCCCATCTCTGCCAGATCCTCCAACATCTTCCATTTCCGAATGGCTAACCCAGTCAAAACTCCATGAGATTTCCGGCTTAAGGCATCTGCTACCACATTCGCCTTACCCGGATGATACTGTAAATTAAAATCATAATCTTCCAAATATTCAACCCATCGCGTCTGTCTATTATTCAAGTCCTTCTAAGAGAGAAGGTATTTGAGACTTTTGTGATCTGAGAACACCTCGAATCTCTTACCATACAAATAATGCCTCTAGCTTTTCAAAGCAAAAACAACTGCTGCTAACTCCAAGTCATGAGTGGGATAGTTAAGCTCGTGAATCTTCAACTGTTTAGATCCATAAGCCACTACCTTGCCACCCTGCATCAACACACAACCCAAAACATCTCGAGAAGCATTACAAAAGACAACATAACCTAAGCCACGCTCAAGTATTACCAATACTGGAGCTGTAGTCAATCTAGTTTTCAACTCCTGAAAAGACGACTCACAAGCTTCAGTCTAATCAAATCTGATCCCTTTTCGGGTCATCCAAGTTATAGGAGCAGCTAAGCGAGAAAAGTCCCTCACAAACCGGCGGTAATAACCCACTAAGCCAAGAAAACTCTGAATCTTATTCACATTCTTGGGACGTTCCCAATCCAGAACTGCTTCTATCTTCGAAGGATCAACTGAAACCCCACTGCCTGAAGCAACATGTCCCAAAAACTTCACCTCTTATAGCCAAAATTCACACTTTGAATACTTGGCATACAAATGGTGCTCTTTCAGCATCTGTAACACTGTCCTTAGATAAATCTCGTGATCCTCCCGAGATTGTGAATACACAAGAATGTCATCCACAAACATTACCACAAACTGATCCAGATATTTTTGAAAGACACGGTGCATTAGATCCATGAATGCCGCTGGCGCATTCGTCAAACCAAAAGGCATCATAAGGAACTCATAATGACCATACCGCGTACGAAAAGTTGTCTTTCGGAATATCCTCATCCCGAACTCATAATTGGTAGTAACCAGATCTCAGATCAATCTTGGAAAAGCAAATAACTCCCCTCAACTGATCAAATAAATCATCAATCCGCGGTAAATGATACTTGTTCTTGATGGTTGCATGATTTAATTTCTGATAATCAATGCACAACCTTATAGAACCATCCTTTTTCTTTGCAAATAACACTGGCGCGCCCCATGGTGAAACATTAGGTCGAATAAAACTCTTCAGCCTCAAATCATCCAACTGCTTCTTTAATTCCTCCAACTCTGCTGGTGCCATACGATACGGAGCCATAGAAATCGGCGCAGTACTAGGCATCAAGTCAATCCAAACTCAACTTCTCTTCTAGGAGGTAAATTCGGTAAATCATCCGAAAACACATCCAAAAAGTCACAAACAACTAACGGATAAACTGTCTCCATATCACCATCTTCTTCAGCCAAAATGTTAGCTAAGAAGAAATCACAATGGTCTTGACCACGAACACCATAACAAGCTGAAACCAGGGAATCACCACGATCTCCCACAAACACAAAACAATCCCCCTCTGGTGTACACACTGAAACTCTACCACTGAAGCAATCAATGGTGGCATGAAATGATGATAACCAATCCATTCCAAGAATGACGTTAAACCCTGTCATCTCAAGAAGGATAAGATCAAAAACCAAAGTCCGCCTAGCAATCATAATGGCGCAATCATGCACCACCTTGCTCATAACCAATGAACCACTTACCGACGTATCAAAGCACAATGCTCGGTCCAGAAAACCAACCTCCAATCCCGATGCAAGTGTAAATGTGCATGAAATAAATGAATGAGGTGCACCAGAATCAAACAAAATGCGAGCATAAGATCCAAAGACTGGAAACATACCCCTTACCACTGACAGTCCCGAAGATGTCTCAGGAAGTGCATACACTCGACCCTGAGATATCTGAGCCTGTAAACCTCTAGCCTGAACCCCGGACTGTTGACTAGTCCCTATAGAACTACCCCTCCCAGCTGGTCTCGATCATTGTGAAGATGCAGTTGGCTGCAGTGGTCTAGACCCAGACGGTACTGTAACAGACTGAGATGGTCTCTGTTGTGTACCACAACCACTACCAGAACCTTTGCCTGAGCCACCAGTCCTTCTCGAACAATCTCTAACCTTGTGGCCCTGCTGTCTACATCCAAAGCAAGCTCCCATAGAAGAAGACTGTGGACAATCAGACTCATAAGGGCCAGGCTATTGATACCCAAAATAGATAACCTCACTCCTACTTGCTCCTGATGGTACAGAAGTTGTAGGAGTAGGTCAGCCTAACTGTTGTCCTCCAGACCTAGATTAACTCCCTCTATGCCTCTTGCTAGATTAACCCTCAGCACATGAACCACTGGCTCGTCTTTGCTTCCACTGATCCCGAGTTTGATTTTTATCATTCAACTCAGCTTCAACAATCAATGCCCTTTCTATAGCCTCAGGATAAGTCTGTAGGCACTTTGCTGCAACAAAAGTCCTAATCCGATAATGGAGTCCCTCTACAAACTTGTGAACTTTATCTGATTCCTTACTTACAATCTCCGGAGCAAAATGAGAAAGAGAAGTAAATCTATTCTCATAATCTGTCACTGTCATAGAACTATTCTAGAATAAAGAGATAAACTCCTTGTGCAGCTCCCATCTTTTAGTCACAGGAAAGAACTTATTGTAAAATAACTCTTTGTAAGCATCCTATGACAATGTCTTCACATCCATTCTGTTAGACACTGACTTCCACCACAATTTGGCATCCCTAGTAAAGTTGTAGGTAGCCAATAGAATCTTCACAGAATCATTTTCAACTGCCAGAGCATCAATATGCTTTTCCACCTAGTCAAACCAATCATTTGCTAACAACGGATCAGTCCCACCCTCGAATAATGCAGGCATGAGTCTGACAAATGTGGAGATGAGTTTGAGACATCTTTTTGTCTCATTTTCCCCTGCAGACATCACTGGCGGTGGCAAACCTCCCTGTCCCACAAGGTGAGATGCAGAACTCTCCCCAGACTATCCAGCTGCAGGCCCAATCTCTTAGCCTCTTGGTGCCCTATCCTTCTTACGAGGGGGCATACTACAATGAAATGCAAGTCAATAACAATATCACTATCCACACTCCCAAACTCATTCATAGGAATAAAAGCCTTTAAAAACATAGCATGCTTTATCATAATCAGATAAACACGTAATCGTATATACACATAAGCATGCTTACAAGGCAAATAACAGATACACATGTAAGCACATAAGACACTACAAACCCCTATACATACAGCTGTAGACAGACCTCTACCCATCGTCCCTAGGCTATAGGAACCATGCTCTGATACCATACCTGTCACGCTCCTAGACCGTAGTCCGGATTATGAACACAACACACAAACAATCACAGTCTCAAAATCAGAAAGATATCCCTGTAACCTGTCTCAACCACACATCAACCTATCTATTTCCCTTTACAAAAACAAGACTGAAAATTAATAGATAAGATGCCAATATTTCAACATTAAAGTTTTAAAGTGCAAAATAACATTTATTACATGCCAGAAATATTCTAAGGAAATATAAACAAAAACATAGGCTATTATGCGGAACAAAACACTACAACACTAGCCCCGACTCTGTCTACAGCTGAGGAGGAACACCCTCCATACCATCCGTGCCATGACCTGAAAAGATATGTATAAAATAGGAATGAGTAACCACAGCTCAGCAGGAATTGCCTAAAGCGCACTCCTTAATACCTCCGTGAATCCAAACAAAGAACGGATAAAAGATAAAGGAATCATACAAGCTCAGGGGAAAGCAACATATCATATGAGATAATAAAATGAAGTGTCATGTAATGCCAATACCAATGCTAATGTCATTGACACCTCTCATTTTCGAAAATCCCATATCCAACACAAAAAGTTAATGTAATCCGCCCAGGGCTGCTCCCCAGTACCACGAGGAGAGAGTTAGTCATCTATTCTTGACACAAGACCACTCCTTGTGATCATTTTGGGGTTCTAGGGACACAACTACGCGTAGAGCCACTCCCTACGTCTCCTCTAGATTCCCATTAACTGCACAGACAAGGAAACTCCTTGTCCGGTTTTAAAATCATTAATTCAATTCCCTTTTTTAAGCTCACGGATACAAGGCACCTCCCTGTAATCCGGTTTTCAAAACCATTTTATTCAAATGCTCTCACTTCCTTTTCCATTCTAACCTTAACCCCATGACCATGCAAGATGAATGCACAATTGTGTCATGTTTCGAAGTTTCTAAACAGTAAACAGTTCATGTTACTTCTATCTTTGAAAATTCATAATAAATTCAATTCTAAATCAAATTGAGTGATTCCAAAGCTTAATGAAAGCTTAAACAATTTAATTTGAGAGTGTTAATTTATTTTAACAAAATCCCTTCCCAATTGGAACAGTTTTGACCCAAAGTTCGAACTAAAATCTGCCAGAAACTTATTTCCAGCCTGTAGCTTTCATCTTTGAAAATTCATAACAAATTCAATTCGAAGTCAAATTGAGTGATTCAAAAGCATAATGAAAGCTTAAACAATGTAATTTGAATGTGTCAATTTATTTTAACAAAATCCCTTCCCAATTGGAACAGTTTTGACCCAAAAATTCGAAATAAATCTTGCCCAGAAACTGATTTCCAGCCTGTAGCTTCCATCTTCGAAAAATCATTAAAAATTCAATTCTCATCCAAATAGAGTGAACCCAAAAGTCACTGAAATTTCAAAGACTATATTTTCAAGATAAAATTTTAATTCACCAAAATACCTTACCATTTAAAGCAGGTTTGATGGAAAACACTCGGATAGAATCTGCCCTAACCCAGAATTTCCATCAAGAACCCTCTAACTTCAAAAATTCATGGTAAATTCATTTCTCAACCAATTTATATGAAACCAATTCTCAATGAAATATAATTCACTATATTATCATAATATCAAATCATATCTACATGATAAATTACGAATTTATATGAATTAGAGCAAAATAGCAGTATACAATTTCAGCCAAACAGTTTCAGCATCAGTTTATGTTTTTTATACACTTTACAGCTCAAATTGAAAGAGATAACTCACTAAAGACAAACGAATTGAGGGTTAGACAATCCTACCTCCAAAGAAGCTTGAACCTTGCTAAACAATAATTTAAAGCAACTCCAAGAAGGAAGCAAAGCCACAAACTTTATACAAAGTGAAGAACACCTTTTTGTTTTGACACACAACAAGGCCCTATCCTTTCACACCACTTTTGACAACCCAGAATTTGTGAAATGTGCACAACTCTTATGCCACAAGGAAGCTCTCTCCCTTAGGAACCTTTTTCATTCACAAAGCTAACCAAAACTCACAACACAAGGCCTTCAAAATGACAAGTAAAGAAGAAGACTATGGTGAGGGAATAAAAGGGACGAAAATTCTCAAAAAAGAGTTCCTATATAATTTTTAACTAATATGCCATGCATCTGTATAGTTAACAGCCACATCCACCCCCCACATGTCAAGCATACACCTAGCCAAAGCATGCCCCTATGAAATGAATAAAAGACCCTTCACACATTTACCAATTTCCAAATATGTCATTTGCATGCTAAAAGTCCACACTACCCCCATGAAATAACCAAATGCTAAATATGTCATTTGGAAAATAAAAGTCAACTTTGCCCTTTATAAAATAATAATTGACAAATATGCCATTTGCATAATAAAGTTTATAATACTTTTTAACACATAATAATGTTTAATTCACAATTGCAAAATAATCATATTTTTGACAATTAAAATAAAATGCATGAATGCTAAAATGTTTGGAAAAATGATAAAAATGCAAGTCCTCACACTTCAACTGTTTGACGGACCATGCCGTTTCTGAATTTTCCTTAAACTCATGCTTAATGACAAATTTGGCTTCCGTTTCAATGGGCCACTCAGCGCAATTTGGAATGGGAGCTTCCTCGAATGGTCCTTCGGAGGAGCGAGCACGCTTAGAGGCAATTTTGGGAGCCATTTGGATGATGGATTTGGTTCAGGCAATTTATCAAACACCTAGTATGCCAGACAAAAAGGCAGAGAGCAAAGAGAGGATTAGAGTTGTAAAAATCCAAAAATTTTTGCCCTACAAATGAAATACACTAGCCCTAAATAAGTACTAAACCTACACAACATTCAGTCCCATCCTCCACTAATAACCAAAACATGAAAGAATAGAGGAGGAGAAACTTACCCAAAAATAGAGAACCCAATGGCACCTAGCTTGGTCCGAAATGGATGGGAAGAGTTTAAGAGAATGATAGAGATGGGAGAGGGATAGATGTGAGAGAGAAAGAATGGAAGGAGAGGAAGAAGGGTTAGGAAGGAAAGAGGGGCGGCTGGGATGAGAGAGGGATTTAAAGAATTTGAAATGGGCTTTGAATATGGGTGATTTTAATGAGGTCCCGAAGCTTAGCGGGTGCCAGCATCGGATGGCGGGCGCCCGTGAGATGCCATGGCACGGCATGGTACAAGCCTAGCGTGTAGCTGAGGGTGCCCATTGGCACTTGGTGGGCCCCCGCAGGAATTAGCGGGCACCCGCCAAATCTAGCAAGGACTATTTTTTCATTTTAGTCGAACGGAGGCTATGCCGGGATCCAAAAAATTTTCAATTAGAAACTTAAGCTCCTATGGACCCTAGACACCTTGTATAACTCTCAGAACGGGAATTGAAGCTCATTTGCAAAAGCGCTAATTTTGGGGTTCGAATTTCCTGTGATTTTTGGATTTTTTGAGGAAATTGCCAAAACGACCTTGGAAAATTCTAAAAATGGTACCGATACCTTAAAATGGCTAAGTAAGCCTAAAGTGACTTTTGAACACAATTCGAGATAGTTTTGAAAAAGCTCAAATTTTGGCTACACTTAGCTAATTTCTAAAAAATTTGGCTTAAGGCAATTTTAGAAGATGGAAGCTTTGGAATTGAAAGAATTGCTTCTGAAGAGTGCTAAATTTAATGTCGATAGCTAGACAAACCAAGATTACTCATTAGTCCTCGTAAATTGGGTCCATTAATAGGACTCTCTCCAGTTTTCGAATCGGGACTATGCCATCAACATAAGGTTTAAGCCTTTGGCCATTAACCTTAAAGAGAGATCCATCGGTAGGATCATGAAGTTCAATGGCACCATAAGGAAAGACGGATAAGAT